TTTTCATTTTACAATACAATCAACTCTAAGTCTAGTAAAAATACAAACTTTAGTAATAAAGTGCAATAATTTCAATAATAAAACATGCAATTTTTGATCACCAAATTTTAATGCCCACTGAATTATATGTGTTTGAAAGCACCGAAAAACAGAATCTCCTCTACTTTGATTACTTTATTCCGTCAAACATAGTTTCTGTATGTCATAAATTCTATCTAAACCTTTCTGATCTCAAATTCAGTCCGATTATCTTGATTTGAAAAGATGAACAAAAATTCACAAATTACACTTACATGTGTCCGAGGATAAAATAGTCATAAGATTCTTTTAAATATATAAGCAGAACTTATTATTTGGAAATCAATGAATTATTCTTGATTTATTCTTTAATTTTTTTATAAGGGAAATTTCAATTTTGTTTTCATTGCCAGAAAAGTACTTTATGATGATAAATGTCAGAAATGAAAATTTTAAAACGTCAGAAATGAAAACTACAAAATGTAGGGAATGAAATAAACAATATTTAAAATAAAATTCTGGAAATAAAATCCTATGCTAGGCTCATTTTCCAAAAGGGGAAGGGTCTTTAAACCCAAGCTCGTTTTCCGGGAAAAAATATTAATGCGGGAGGAAAGTCTACATCAGTACTTTTTAAACTATTTGAGTAATTTGACATGTATCAGCATAATTTTGCTATACCCCACCCACCAAAAATACAACACCACCATTTATAATCTTTTCCTTTTTTGGGGGAGGGGGTGTTTTATTGCTTAAAATGTTCAACTCGATTGACTTTGGTTTGATTTTGCCAATTAATGCACATCTTCCTTAACCAGTGTTAACCCCGGGGTAATATCAAGTAGAATGAAACAATCGTTAGTCTTTAGCTGGATAAGAAACGATGGTTATAAAAACACGGGGGATATGCGACTTCAAGTTTCGTCAGGTGAGACAATAGGCCTACCCCCCAAAGCACAGACATGTTGTTTTAACAACAACGGGATAGGCTAGTACACCGTAACACAAGTCCCTGTCAAAGTGACCCTCCAATTATTTTATAGTTAGGTACAATATGAATCGTAAGAATTATGCATAATTATTATTAATGATATAATGAAATATCTTTCGAAAGATATGAAAATTCTTTTTGGGAAGTGGAAGTCGAACGTTGTTAGGAAAGAGACTGTAATGAAATGATCATTGTTGGACTTACAAACACCATATACTGAACAATGTGCCAGTGAAGGTATGCGTATTATATATATGTATTTTTTTTTTTTTTTTTTTTTTTTTTTTTTTTTTTTGCAATGTTAAACTATAAAAGACATGTCGTACATGATTTTCCCATAATGTAACTCGATCAACAGATCTTTGCATCTTTATATTTTTTGTTTTGTGCACTACCTGTGAGGTATGTACTACGATAAGGAGCTAACAGTTAATTTAGGAATGACTCTAATTCTTGGCCAAATTATTCGAGTATAACCTGGTTTGGGTCAGTTTACGCTTTATAATCCGCGAAGCGGATTATAAAACAGCGTAAACTGACCCAAACCAGGTTATACTCGAATAATTTGGCCAAGAATTAGAGTTATTCCTTATAATTTAATTTTAAAATCATTAAATAACTATAGGTGTAAAATTTCGTTACTTTTTATCAGTTCAAATTTGCCGCTCAATAATACAACCATAGTAACGGAAGTAACGGAAGTGATGGGAATCGAGGGGAGGTAAAAACTGATACATAGGCATAGCAGCCATGTTGTTTGGTTACATGTGGTAAGATCGAATTATTGTTTGAAATTAAAGGTACATTTATTAAATCTGGAATTTTCCATGAATCCCGAGGACTGGAAATGAGAGGATTGCATGGATACAGACGATTCAGCTGGTTGTCAGGGGGGTGTGTCCCCATACCAAACCAGGTTATACAGAAATAATTTGTGTTCCTTTTTAGATATTAACCAATCAGAGGCTAGTATACAAACAAAATTAAATTATTCAGTGCTAACATCAAATTTTGAATAATTTTTTGATAGATAATTTGAGGTTTTGTACTGAGATATATCATAGTATTAGAAATATAATTTATTAAAATAGGCTAAAGAAATCCAGCAACTAGCGAGATATCGCAAGACTTGATCCTTTTAGTATATATACAATGTACATACATGTACGTCCCTGGAACTCCATTTTGCTGAGAAGGGCACTTTTATAACAACTATACCTTAAATAATTTAAAAAGATTAATAAAGCAAATTAATTTCGAATCAATAAAGGAGAAAAATCTGCATATTAAACCGAAGGCGGACCTTTTATTATAGAGGCAGGCCGGACCTTATATGTTATCGTATTAGGTCCCCCCGGACCTTTAAACGAGGCGGACCAAATATTATGCGACACCGGTCGACGGGGGATGCTCACTCCTCCATGGCACCTGATCTCACCTCTGTTTCCAAAGTCATGTTTCTTAATCTGTATTGTTTAAAATGAACTTCAGCATGTGACTGTTATCTTTATAGTGCATGCATATTTCTTAACAAAGATATTTTCTTTGATATTTTACATGTATATAAACTTCATAAACTATTAATGTACAACAAATTAACGCTCTTGCAATATAGGTACTTAAATGGATATTTGTGGTGAACGTTTGACTATTCAAGATACAAACTAAGGTTTAAGGGTTTCTCAGTTGGCCACACTGACTATATGAAAATATAATAACAAACAGTGATCGATCTAACAAAAATCTTCAAACAATACAAATCTGTGAAAAGGGCATAAATGATGACCCCGGAAATTCCAGATGTGGGATTAGGTGCAAGGGTGAGTAAGTATCCCCTGTTGACCTGTCATACCCGCCGTAAGCCCTAGGTATTGATCAGGTAGACGGAATAATCCGAAGTCAAATTAAATATAAAAATTATCTTTCACCATGCATTCTATGTCTATAATATACATAGTACATAACATCATTTGCATTTAGAATATTTGCTTGCATAGGAGTTTACAAAAAAGGAAGCAAGGTGAATTCCAATAACCCTAGCAAGATTTTATTATACATTTCTTTATGTATAAGTGCTGGGAATGTATTAAATATCGAGATACAATGGAAATAAACAAATCTGCTAAAAGGCGACTAAATTACTTACGTTTTTTGCTGTCTTGGACGGAGTGGATATAGATTGAATTACTAAAGTTTTGGAATGTGAGATATGGTGGAAACACAGAATTAATTCTGTAAAATCTCGCCTAAAAGCCGACTTACCGCAATGGACTCGTCTTTAATAAATCGATTTGGTGATAAAAACTGGTTGGAGTATTAGGAGATATTGCTTAACTATGAATAATGAAAGTGACCAGCTTCCATCTGATACTGTGTTTGAAATGTTATGTAGTGTCAGATTTCTATATTCTTAAACTATAATTTAATGTTTTAATACTTTTCATTAGAAAAAACCGACTAATAAATGCATTAATCTACGCTTTTCTAGCTGTTTTATGGACAATTAGATTAAGTAAAATTACGATCGATTCCTAGAATAGTTAAGCTGTCAGCAAAAGGAAAGTGTGTGATTAAGAATGTCGACAAAGAAGTGATTTCAAAGAATGTACCATTTTGTGAGTTGTCAGCCATTCTTTCCGAGGACCCTTTTTCTCGCTTCTGAATTATTTACTTCTAATAAATCAAAATTCACCAACTGTAGGTTTCACCTTTTTATTTTAAAAATGTTACATTTTAAAAAAATAAACGTGATCGTTCCTAGTTATCATTATCATAAGAAGATAACTAGAGACTTAGTTGAGAGCTATCTACAAAGTTTCAGATTAAATTATCATTGTCAAGAAAAAGCCAGCTATCCAACTGTTGTCTAAGAGAATAAGCATAACAAAAAAAAATCAAAATTATCAAAGAACCATACTTCAACTAGGCAAAACCACTGAATGATACGATTTGTCTTTACATTATGTTTTCCTTGATATCTATTGTTATTGAATAAAAGTAACAACAGAGTTGGCATTTTACAAGGAATTCGACAAAAATGGACAGATTGAAAAAAGAAAATGTATACATAAATACATAAACGAAAGTCATTACCATGAAATGAAGGACAATACAAAACTTTAAAGTTAATTAAGACATTGAACTTAAACAATGCTTTCTTTTTAACTTAATGAAACCGACTTGGGATTTTATGGTGCTGAAACTTTTCATTATCTTATATAATTTTTATACCATGTGTAACCAACAATGGCTCAGTGGTAAACAAAGTCTAAAAAAGCCACCTTCTGGGAATTTTTAAGAATCGTCTCAAAAACAGGTATATTTACTTTTGGATACATAGTAACTTGCCATTTTTGTACTTTATAATCAAATAATAATAAAATAATAAATGAGACTTTGTGTGCTCATTGAATATACATGTATGATGAAAAATACTAAATATGCATAATATAAATATATTATATAAATATGTAAGAAATGCAGGATTCTGTCGTCTTACAAAAATGAAAGAATCTATGGATTTGTACAGAAAAAATAGCTAAGAGGTTTGTATATTTCTGTTTTATTAAAAACTTAAAAGCATATAATTATGGTTTTTCATGACCTCTTCCTAAAGATTGACCTTCAATTTTTCATAACTTCGTGATCACACAATGACGACCTCCAAATGCAAAAAATCATTTTTTAAAATCAATTTCTTTTTCATAGTTTTTTTATCGGTTATATGTTAATGTTGTAAACTTTAACAAATGATTTTTGTAAATGATTTCTTAAAAGTGTTAATACGCTGTACTTCATACTACTGCGTAAAATATAGCACAATAAAAATCCAAGTTGGCCAACCTTAGTTGTTTATTGGACTTTAAGCCCCGTCCACGTTGGGCTGAAATGTAATAATGTGAATAACTGCTCTTTATAAAATGTTAAGATTTGTGCTTGACAATACAGGTGGTTGATCAGAAGAAAACAGTTGATAGAATATAAAATCGAATCCCCCTTTCACTACATAGTAGTAATATAGGAGGATATTCGTGACATTTGATCACATGTCAGGAGGCTCGTTCTGTTGTTTGAGAGCGTTATAAGCTTTCTCAACCCGACTAAGTTTTTGTAAGAGTTGATTAATTTCGTTCGATCTCTCACGATGTGTCTTCGGAGAATCATCACGTGACGGTTTTTCCGATGTATCGATCACAGTTGGATTATCTTTGACGAAGTCTTCGTACAGTTTATTTATTTGTTGTTTAAGTGGGATCAAGTCATCGTTGTTTTTAGGATTAACTGTGCTTTTTTCTTTTTCTTGCAGGATCCTAAAAAGATAATTTATTTAATATGTAGAAATATATACAGAAATAAAATAGGATTACTAGATTTGTCACACCTATCTACTCTTTAGCTTCCGAAAATGTTTTGTTTTTAAATGCAATCACATTTGCCAAATAACCTTGGTTTGGGGGTCTGACGTAATTTTGCTATTGAAAGTAACTTTTGTGTCAAACATTCGTTTATAAGGCTTCCCATTTGCAAAGTTACTTTTCGGGTATAATTTAAGATTAGAAACACATTACATAGGTGAAATTTTGTATCATGTGTATAATAAAGACATGATGATTCCTATAAGTTTAAACATCGAGTTGATTTACCAGTATTTTCGTGTATTTCCATCATCACCTTTTAAAGCTCTAGGTATTTAAACAACTAACCTCTTGAATTGTTGTATGCTTGTATTGACATGTTGTAGTTTGGTTATCACAGCCTTTGTCTCATGGGTGTCCATTTCACAAGAAGTTGTTTTCTCATCCTTTGAAGCTTTGGAACTCTTGTCTAGAGTTGTGATGGATCCATGCATTTTGCTAACCTCTTCCGAGATTTCTAGCAAGGAGTTTCTCAGCTTATCAATTTCGTCATCTTTCTCAATTAGAATGCTACAATTTTAAAGTATACACAATCTAAGTTTTCAATACAGGAAAGGTGACTATAAATTCTTTTGTTTGATCTGAGATTTGGAATTGGAAACGTTTAGTTTTTTCTTCAACAACATGAATCTTCTTCAGATTGTGGAGAAAATCAATGATTGCAATATAGGTATATATTAAATTATCTTATATTATCATCAAGAAATATCAATATTTGAATACATATATTTTATGATATTTAAGCAACCCATAATTTGTAAGATATTTTTAATTAGATTCTTACAATACGTTTGTCCACCTGGTTTCGCATGTCAATTTAAATATGAAAAAAATGATTGACTTGTCAATTACAGTGTACATGACTGTTGGACCTCTCTGAGTGTCAATAGGTGTTCATTTTTTGTTTTGAAAAAGGTTTATTATATGGTCTCTGCGAATTAAAGCGATATACAACTAAGTTCTCTGTTTAAGAATTTCTAAATAAAATCTGGCAACCATGTTAAATCACACACAAAAAATTGATTCTAGTATTCTAGTACGTAAGTGCATAAATTCATTCATGTAAATTACTGAAGATTGTCTCATTCTGTATCATTGAGAAGTTTACATATTAAATTTAAATTCGTAGGAATAAATTTTTTGTAGATTGTTGAATATTAACAGTTTCATGGCGATATGAAAACTTTATGTAATGAAAGAAATTTTGCTGCATATTAATATTCGTTGGAAAGTAACTTTGTAGGTGAGGGATAGGCCCCAAAATTCATGAAAATGATACCAAGTAAAATGTAGTGAATCTTTAGTACTCACATTCCTAGTCTGCTGTTCTTTTCCTCGAGCAGTTTGGCGCTTTCCTCAATCTGAGTGATTTTGTGGAGGAGGATGTCGATGCTCTTCTTCTCGTCGGTCACGCCATCTAGCGTAAGAGTGGTTGTAGTGCGCTCGGGCTTTTCTCCACAAATTCTTCTGTGTAGTGACGTAATCGAGGTCTTCAGTTTGGAAACGCCATCAACTATCATCTGCTCAAGTTCAGCTTTCTCTCGCAATGTTCTGCAGATTAAAAAATGCGCAACATGCATTTTATTATGTTGATTTTATTAGCAGAAAATTCATTATCCACTTTTACATGTTGATAAAAATCATATGACTTTGATATTTCATTTAAAATAATTCACTTCCAATATCCTTGATTCTATCAGAAGACAACTATCCATATTAACTCATACGCTTAGGAGATGTTACATGTATTTTCTAATATTCATATTTAAATAATCATTTTGAGAAACAATGCGCTCACAACCTTAGATTCACAACTCTAAGTCTCGAGTTCTTAGTTTCAATTTCTCAACCATTTTCATGTATTGCCAAAAATAAGTATAGCGTTTCTTTTCCATTTTACATTTTGTTTGTTCGTAGCTTTTTGTTGAAAATAAGAAATAATTCTACATGATTTATATATCTTTAGTGCGCTTTTCTGTGGTTGTCTTGCTGAAGTATACTTAAGATTATGTGAGAAGATGACTAACATATTGAGATTTTCCTGCAGTTCTGATTCCAATTCTACAATCTTTCCCTCCATTCCTCGCTTCTGTTTATTATACTGCTCCTCCAGTTTCTCTACTTGTCTGTCTTTTGCTGCCTTTGTAATGGGCTGCAGTCCTTTTAACCTGACAGACAAGAATATAAAGCAATAGTTTGCAAATCAAAGACTTACAAACTCAGAACTAGTACTAAGTACTCAGTATAAGAATTAGTTTACCTTTCTTGTTCCCTCCGTAATTCTGTTATTGTATTTCTCAATCCCTTGTTTTCTTCGCTCAGTCTGTACCATATAAAAAATATATGAACAACAAATCAACAGACAAAAGAGTTCACATCCTTTTAATAAATTGTTTGTCATTATAATCTTTGATTAACAAATTCCCTAATGTTGAGATATGCATTGCGTACCTGCTTGATTCTAATGTTTGGGACAGAATCTGTCTCAGAATTTCCCTTTTACATCTATCTATCATGATTTTGTGACACTATCAGCATTTCCTTTCTATACCGTGTCTTTCTTGAATCGGATGATTCGTACAAATCTTCTTACAGCATTTTATGTAAATATGGGCCCCGTTTTACAAAAGAACTTACGACTAAGATCAAAATGTTATTATGCAAATAACTTTCCTTTTTACATTACTTTGAAAATAGTTTTAATCTTTTTTAAAAGAATTCAGAAAGATATTTCTATGCAAACATTTTTAAGAAACACAAAGTTAGTAAGATTTTACAATCAATTAAAGTTTTTTGGTCTAAGTAATAAGTTCTCTTGTAAAACGGGCCCCAGATCTTTATATATATGATCCTGTATTTCTAATCTTCTACGTTTGAAACTCCTTATTTACTAACCTCTTTAATTCTGAAGTTTGTGAGGCCTTTTGTCTCAATAATTCATTCTCCAGACCTCGGACCTTTTTAATTATCTCCTTAAAATCATCGGAGTCGTCTGCTCTTTTTGCCAGCGTCGTCGGCGAGCGTCCATGCGTGATGCCGGTACTTTCACGTGCTATTTCAGACAATTTCTGTATTCTGAGGTGGTCAAACAGTCGCCCAACGGCTTTATTCAAGTTCTTCACCTCATCATTACCCACGCCTACCGCCTGAATTCTTCTGATGAGTAGAAAAAATAAATATTCACAACAGCAATTTAAGAAGGTGACCTTCTGAACTTTAACTAATGAATCAAGAATAATACTGAAGAAACGATATCCAAAATGTTGCAGATTTATAATTAAATACAGTGTTTAGTACATGAAATATATATAGATAACGAACATTATTCAAGCTCAAAAGTCTACTAAACAATACAAAATAGGAGCAGAGCAAACACGGACCTCCAAACATCAGAGGTGGGACCAGGTGTCATGGAGGAGTGAGCATCCCCAGCCGACCTGTCACACCCGCCGTGTGCTCCTTGTCATGATCGGGAAATACCGGAAAAATCCGTCGACAATTCAGTGTGTAAATAATGGCCTAACAATTAGTATGAAAAACGTCAGTCAGCATTTGACTCAATGATAAATTGTATTTGCTGATTGCTACATGTTAAGACTATGATTTTCTATCCTGAAATGGTTAAAAATATTAAATTAAAGAGCTATGCAAAATAAACAGTTTACACGAAACATTCTTTTTAGCTCAAATTCAAACATTACCAAAATATTAATGTCAATAGCTTGGTAGTATTACTCATTCTTTAAAACAAATTAAGATAACTCGTATTGGTTTTTAAAAAGCATACTGAAAACAAACATTTATGCAGTTCATTTTGTGGGTTATCAAGTAAGACAGCTTTACAAACATTCAACAACAAGTGATGCAAAAGAAATAAACACAATTAGTTTTTGTCTCTGGATTAACAACAAAATCCACCCTCTAGTAATTAAGCTGAGACTCACGGCTTGGGACTTTAAAAGAAAGTTTAAAACAATTCATTACACTGCGAATCATTGAAATAGGAACAACAAAAGGTAAAATCAATGACAACTACACAAGTATGTACAAAAAAGAAACGTAATCAAAACCTGTTAAAATCTAATGGGAAAAAAACTAATAATTAAAATTGGGAAATAATCAGGCTATTACAATTTTGTGCTGTTTGATTGATGGAATAAATTGACTTATTATTGTGCATGTTGTACATTTATCCTTGAAAAAGTAATTGTCATTTCTCGTGTATCGCGCAGAAGTCAAGTCACTGAACCTGTGTTTCGATCAAACATTTTACGCCAATATTAAATTGTCGTTTGAACATTGTCTTACTTTTGTTTGTGTTAAAGAAAGTGATATCATTGACTAGATAGTAGTGAAAGCCGATCTCATGTTTGTAACTAATACTTCACTGTGATGCATATGTCATTTCACGAGACTTTGACAGCAAAAGTACATATCGAATAACTTACTGGCCCATTTATATATCTTAAAACTGTGTTATAACAAGACCCGATTCCTTTTTTATAATTATAAAGTGAACATATAAATACATGTATATTGAAGCGATCCTTTCTTCTTAATCTTAAATCATTATATACATTTGTATAATTTACGTATATATTAAATTCCTCACGAGGAATATATTTTTTCATTGAAAATATCAAAAAATAATAAGTCAGGAGAGAACACAAGTTCAAGAAATCTTCCTGTTCTGTATACATTGTATTTCTTCTTAAAGTATTTTCTATAAGTTTGATTTAAATAAACAAATATGAAGAAACAATTTGACAGAATACCGGTTGCTAGTTTTCTAATCTTGTTTGAAACTATCTTGTCTACCTCTGTTTAATCAAATTCGTATGCTACAGTCTCTCTTTTTCTTGTTCTCTCTCTCTCTCTCTCTCTCTCTCTCATATCTACATTAACTGAAACTTGGCAAGTCCTACCTTTTTTCTGCTTCCCTCTTTGTTTCTCCGATCACAGAGGTTGTGGATCTTTTAGGTCTCTCCACCGTTGAATCTGATGGCGGCTTGCTGATGGTCTTATTTGTGGAGCTCTAAGTATATAAAGGGTACTCATTTATATGTAAGGATTGTGTCCATGTTCTGTTGGTTATGAGAGATAAACACCAAGCAATCTTATTATGATTGCCTTTTTATTAAGGCAAAAATTGGAAAAAAAAAATCATACTAAGACGAATGCCTTTTTTTTTCTTTTTATTCGAATCATTTCAGTATTCTATTTTACTATTGTAAATATATGGAGACCTACTTACGGATAAAAACTCTTTCTTAAGATGTGTAAATCCCGACTTGACATTTTTGAATAGTCCTTCTTTTTTCAAGGCTTTCTCTAGACCAATCAGAGTTTGTCTGACGTCAGCTGGCGTGGCGTCACCACTCATAACCTAAGATAAAAGTGTTAGAACTTATATCAGATAAACGTAAAAACTAAATTAGAATAAACCTTTGAATCTGTTGCCTGATATCAGAAGTGCAATTCAAAATATTGCTTCTAGTCACAATCATCAAAAAAGTTTGAGTACCGTTCACAGAAGCTCAGTTGGTAGAGCGCTCGCTCCGTGATCGGGAGATCGTGAGTTCGAATCTCGGCCGCCGAATCGATAAAAAATGGGTAGCAACCGAGTCGATAAAAATGGGTAGCAACTGTTCCTTCGCCATGCGCTCAGCACTTTGAAGTGAAAGTTGCGGGTTCTTCAGATGAGATCTTAAAACCCAATGCCCCGTGTCACGGCAGGCGTTGGCAAGATAAAGATCCCTCACTGCTTAATGGCCTCGTGAGTGCCGAGTAAAGGTCAAAATTTGAAGCCCTTCACCGGAGCATGGTGACATCTCTATATGAGTGAAATTCTCGAATGGGACGTTAAACAACATACAATCAATCAATCAAAAAAGTTTGGTCTCCAGCGTGGCGCAGTGCGTCTGCTCTAGAGTCGCAAAGTGAGGAGGTTATCCTTACTTAGCGGGTTCGAATCCCACTAAAGGGACGTGGAGACCGGTCCTTTGGATGAGACCTTATAAACGGAGGTCCCGTGTCGCAGTAGGTGCTGGCACGAAAAAGATCCCTCACTGCTCAATGGCCATGAGTGCCGAGTATAGGTCAAAATTTGCAGCTCTCCACCGGCAAGAGGTGGCGTCTACATATGAATGAAGGTTTTAAGATGAAGAATATAATTGCCATGTCCACTTGTAAAGGGAACTTTTTAAGTTTTGTATTCCAACACTTGTGGAAAAAGCGATTAGAAAGATACAAATTCTTTAAATTTTTGTTTGGATACAAAAAATACAGAAAACTTGAGTTCTATTCACAGCGTAGGATGATTGAATTTTCATTTTAAAGTCCAGGGGCTGTATTTATTCATCAAAACGAAAAAAAGGTAGTTAATAATAATGGCCTATGCAATCTTAAACTCGTTAAGTAGCAATTCATAGCATTTCCAATAAATAACAAGATAAACATACCCTACTTGCAGTTAATTTAAATTTTTCAAATTCTTCCGCCACAACTCTGGAATGTAGGGACTTCTTTTGTGTCAGAAGATCTCCAAGATGTTGCTGCAGGGAGGAGACCTTAGATTTGTAGTTCGCCATCTGACAAAGAAAGAAAGTAATAAAGTTACCTTAAATTCTCCTAAGATTGTGGAATAATAACTTGCAATATTCCTTGTGCAAAGAACATATTACGAATTTATAAGTCTCATAAAAAAAATAAAGTTTACAGCATGAGACCATTTCAAAAAACTGCCATACTCACATGTATTTTACTCATTTTTAACATTAATCCACTGAACATGCAATGTTAGAACTGAACAGTAACGAGGTGAAAAGTTGTTTTCTAGTTCAATACCTACTCAAGTAAATTGACATACAACACAGGCTATCGGGTTACCAATACAATGGATTCAATAGAACAAAACCAGAAAGAGAAAACAAAACAATAGACTATTAGGCTTTGCTGCCAAATTATAGCGACCGTAGGAGACCAGAGACAATGGAGGGTATAGTGTGACAGGGGAGCTGGGTTACCCGGCTTCCTGTTGGTAGTGTACAGACAATACATGTCTAATAAAGACCATAAATAACCCTACAGATCACACACTGGTGTCAACTTCATCTGAACTTTCACTAATTAATTGTGTGCAGATTGTTTATTTCGGAAAGAAGTGCACAGAAATATCGTACCTTTACCCCTTTTTTGTATACTTTTGTTTTATGATTACTAATTGTACTTTTGTTTTATGATTACTTATTGTACTTTTGCTTTTTTATGATTGTATTTTGTATGGAGAAACGTCTTTGAAAAATAGAAGAATACAAAAAAGTACCGAAATTGGACTAGGTATCATGTATAATATTTCTTTAATGTGATGGAATGTACGGGGTATGTAATAGCCCTTTCTTTAGAAACGTTAAATATGAAATCAGACTGTTCCATTTATATTAAATACGTATGCTTTTCTTTGTAAGCTACACTGCAAAATTTCAATGCTCTTTTACTTAAAACGAGCACCCACTAAATGTAGCATAATATTTTATGCATATTATTGGACAGGGCGAGGACAAGATTAAACAATGTTAAGATAGAGTTTGATTTTAAACATTTTGAATACTTCCTGATTATTTTAAAGTCGTATTTTTTAAAAAAAAAAATAGATCTTGATATATGTCAAAAGAAATTAAAACTACTTTTCGTTCAAAATGACAATAGCGTCTGAGAAATTGCAAAAACAAAGGCATGTCAGTAAAAAAAAAAATAACGAATAAAATGAATATGAATGTCTAGAATATCTTATTTTTTTTTAATTTGACTGCAACTGGATGCAACAGGATGATCGAGAAATTCGAGTAATATCGTAATTTGTAGTATTTAATTGTCCATATATCTCGTGAGTTGAAAATTGGTGCCAAAATGTGATAATGAACATGGTAGAGAAACTGAAAGTTAAATGTGTTCATGCAGTAAAGAAAGAAAAGTAAAACAATTACTTAAAAATATTTTTTATGAAAAAATATGTACTTTCCTTGATGCCACTTAAGTAACAAATTCTAAAAAAAAATACGAATTAAAAAAACTTATAAGATAAATGAATTCAATTAAATAAATTTCTTTTAATTATTGAGTCTATCCCCCAGTCTCTTTTTACATCAAAATAATCTCAGTAATTATCAGCAATTCTTAGTATCAACAGTAACTCTCAGCAAATATTAGTAATTATCAGAATCCACAGTAAAAACGACAGTAAATATCAGTAATTATCAGAACCAACAGCAATTATCAGTAACAACAGTAAAAATATAAGAAAAATATTAAGATTCTCAGTACCAACAGTATAATACCAGTAAATATCGGAAATTATCAGTATAAAGTAGCACTATCAGTAATTTTTAGGCCAGTAGTAAAAAGATGAATATATCAATAAATGACCGATTTCATAAATCCAGTAAAGTATACGAATCGTGAACAGGGCAAAAACATGGACTCCTGGAAATACCAGAGGAGGGTTCAGGTGCCTAGGAGGAGTAAGCATCCCCTGTCGACCGAAATGAACCCTATGTATTGATCAGATAGACCGAGTTATCCTAGTCAAAATGGTATAAAACAGTGATCTTACATGTACATTGGTTTGAAACACATCAGACAAAATAAGACCTAACGATAGGTTGTATTTGCAGACTTTCGCATGAGAGGAAATCAGAAATAAAGTTATTTCTTAAAGACATGTAAACAATGTCTCACTAAGTATTTCATAATTGCATAAGGGAGATGAAAACACATTTAATGACCATAAAAAATAATAAAAATATCACTAAAGAAACAAAGATTGATAAATTAGAGATATGAAGCACGCAGACATACCCATAGTCTCAGAACCCTCTCATCCACATTCTCTCGCGAGGCAGCCATGTTGGAAATGTATAAAATAACCTTCAGAAGGACAGAGGAGCTAATATGAATACTGATTCCATCGAGTGTACCCACTAACGACATCTATCTCCGTATACAGACTTTTAAACACATTGTTTTCTGCCTACATTATCCTAATTAATACAAGGTTTTGTGTTATCAACACCAATTGTGTTAATCTGAAGCGTATTTAAATATAGATGTATTCGATTTAATCTTCCTGTCCCATTTTAAGCTTGAATTATTTTGTATTTTTTGCAGATACATAGTTGACAAAATGGACGGAAACAGAAGCCAAGGATTAGAAAGATAGCACCAAATGTAAACAAAAGCCAAGGATAGATAGATAGCACAAAATGTAAACAATTCGGTCACACAGTTTATAACAAACCCATACCATAACTGAAAAAAAAAACTTCATCTCTTCTACTCTTATATATATAATTGAAAAATTTGAATATAACTATACAGATAATCCCAATATTTGGTAAGACAAATCTTCAGTTTAAACGTCCTTATTGAAACTAGTCATTCAGGACAAATGAAACTGATCAGATGACTTTCAGTATGATATATCGCATGCCAGCAATGCAAAGTACGCAAGGTTTTTCAATTTAGAACAAAGTCAAACATAAATTAGTTTTATATGAAACAAATTTAAAAAAAAAATGAAAAAAAAGGATTGAGGGTACATCTGTATATTAGTAAAACAGATAAAGTTACAAAATAGATTTTTTCAAAAAATAATTTCCTTTTTGTATTTCGGAACTTTAGCTATTTAATATCTCTTTTTCTAAATAAATAAATAATTAAATTTAAATTTTTTAAAAACAAACTATAAATTATGAAAAAGGTTTATCAAATAAATAATGAAAATAATTTCTGAACAGGAGTAAACTGAAGTATTGGGGTATGTAAACATTATTTTAGATTTGTGATAAGGACATTTAGGATCTTGGGGTATGTAATGTTCTTATTTTTAGACTCCTGACAAGGAATTTTTGTTCTTGGGGTATGTAATTAGTATTTTTAGATTTCTGTCAAATTGCTGTGTATATAATTTGGATACTCAAAAACACAATGGAATGCATTTTCAGGACGTTGTCATGAATTTCACCTTATGAGCTCTCAGAAGCATTAATTTTGAATTTGATTAGTAAAATTTCTCATTTTTTCCAAAATATATCGAATTCAACCTGATATAAAATAGTCTCCAAACGTTTAATTATTTTTGCTTTCACAGTTTTTATTTTCTATTTTGATTAGACTATCTGAATATCTTTTTTTTATCTCAGCTCTGTAATTAACGACGTATCATTCTATGGAAGAACAAAGTCCCTTTTTCTTCGCGCGTATAATTTAAAGCGTTTTCATAACGCGATTAATAGGTAAGTGGAAAAGCCACATGTTTACATATAACTTAAGGTATGACATTCGTCAGCTTTTTAAAAAAGTTTGGTCAGAACCTCTTACTTCATTACTATTTATAACAATTCAATTTTTATAACATATTTTAATTATTTAACAAATTATACGATATTAAATTTAGAAATTGCTCACAGAATCCCAAAGAAACAAGATTTTTGGGGGTTATTTCTTGTGGTGGAAGAATATTCAGAAAAAGAAAATTCTTCAAAACTACACATTTGTTAAATTTAAATATTTTGGAACTTTAGCCCTACATATTTTGAATCAGAGAATTCTTTTCGTTATTTTATGCTGGGATTATTGAATATAGGCTTCAGTCAATATTTTAAGAGCAAAGTTTAAACATCCACTCAACAGACTTTTCTAAGAAAAATGAAGATGTATTAAAGAAATGAAGACAGAATTTACACAGTTTTTTTCCCGCTAAAAATCACTTATTTTGACCAATATCTCAAAATTTATATCACTCGCTCCAACTTTTTCTTTCATTATTATAATCTACAAGATATTTCCAACCAATCAGCTCTAAAGTCGTACAAAGCTTGATACAAGAAAATGTTTTGTTGCCTATTAAAGTGATTAATCCACAATTTAAGTGCAATTTTTGCTCAGTAAAATGAACACTGACCCCCAATTTTCTTTGCGATTTTGAGTCATGCTATATGGGCTGTTATCTACTTCTCAAAAAATCCTTGATGTAACCCATGTCAGGAGTGACACACCTTAAAAACCTACACACCCTAAATAAAACCTTTGAAATTTAGTTTTGGAAAAGCTGAATATTGCTAAAGACATTAAGTTATATGAAATGTATAACAATTGCTCATTTGTGATAATGGGCAATACCATTAAACAATTTAGTATTGTATTATTTTATTCCCACAGAGAGTGAACACATTTAATGTATCTTTTTGCTGCTACGAGTCTCCCCCGGATTTTACAACTGTCTATGTTAAGAAGGCTCCTCTGACCTTAAGTGTAATTGGAACTTGGTGAAATTTTCCAGTATTGTTGCATAATGGCCCTATTTTATAAATATGTCTATTGATTGCTTTAATCACATCAAGATAAAATTTTAGAAAGAAATTCCACGAACTTTTGGATCAACCCTCGTATTTGAAAATTTCGTACATGTAGATGCATTTTTCCATCTGATATGATCATTATATAATTATTGAATATTGATTACATAAAAAATCCGTAAGTTTTCAGTATAACGTTTTTATATATATTATTGACTTTCATCATCTTTATTTACATTTTTATATTCATAATGAAAATTTATCATATTACAGATATTATTTAGACTAATCTTTAAGACCAGAAAAAAAACGAACTACGTGGGTCCTTAATTTTCAATCTAGTTACATGATTGGCATTTATATACTTTCAGAAAGTATAGAAATTCACTTTTTTTAATAAATCATCAGTGATTAAAAATTATTTTTTTTAAAAATTAATCTTGATTACCTTGGCAGTGGAGGACCTCGTTGTAGCACTCGACATGATTAATAAAATTACAAAAATATGAAGTTAACAGGTTTACTATGAACAATTATGAAATATAGGTCATAAATAATCTTGTTTGTCATGCTGAAAAGGGAAATCTCCGCTAATTGATAATTAAATGGTAAGACTATTCTCAGTAAATGTTCCGTGATCTGACTTTATTGTTTTATCCGTCGTACTATATAAGAAAGGATAATGAATACCACGTCAGATCACACCCAAACTTCTTTTGTTTAAGATCAGTGTTGATTTAATCTTCACCTGGGCAAGTAATCAGCTGATCAAAATTGTTCACAGATATAATTGATAAACTTTAGAAAGAAGTTGATTTTTAAAATCTTTAAATTACATTTAAGAATATCTCTTTAAATTTCGAATTCATTAATTAAATCCTTTTAAATGATTTTGTTAATTCGCAAACATGACAATCTTGTTTTTATTCCATTTTTACTCGTATCGATTTATGTAAAAGTATCTTGTATTGTTGAAATGAATAATGGGTTTGACGTAAAATGTTTTTCTGAATTCTCCGACTTTACTTTGTAAATAAAATGAACTTATTTTTTTAAAGGTCACGATGATCTGTGTACAGATAATTTTGACAGCTGTTCTTCACAGATGATCAGACAATGTCCTTCCCTGACGAGGGGGAAATCAGTTCAATTCTAAAGAAAAACCTGGACAGACGTAGGAAACACAGACTTGTAGCTATTGATAATAACCAAATAGGAAACACAGACTTGTAGCTATTAATAATAACCAAATGTCAAACGGTGCATGTTTCAAAGTTACTGTTGCTAGGACAGATCAAAGGAATTTATGTATATAAGATTTAATCAATGTCTTTCCTTGATTATATGCAAGAAAACGTACATATGTTTTAAAAATTTATTGAAATCAATATGAAAATTCATATTCTGTAAATTTTTTAGTTCTGTTTTTTTTTCTCTTTTGGCAAAAGAAGTTTATCAATCACACGTATGTGCTGATACAGCATAATATTTATTTGCAATGTTTTTTTAAAATGCAGTGAGATTCTTTAAACCATTGTGCAGAATTTCAGTCTGCTGCAATACATTTTTTGTAACAAATGATTTAAGACTTTCATTATGGTCTATTTCGCTTTATCATCCTGATGGATATCGCAGTTTGAACTTAAAAGGCCGTCATCATTACGTAGACTATGTTTGTTTAATCACCCTCTCGTTAAAACACTTACTGTTAATGTACACTTACCTTATTATTTTTAGCAATACAATAGGAACTTCCAAGATTTGAAAGCCATAGTCAATAGTTGTCAGTATTTAAAAGAGTGCGTTTTCCATAAAACCAGTAAGTGTGTTTCTTGTTTAACTACACTTTAATAGCCTGCATCTAGTTAATCAAAAATAAACTAACTTTTCATAAAATTTTTCAGATGTTTGTGTTATAAATTTTATTAAAAAGAAAATGATGTCTACAAATCTAGTATGTCATATTAAATGATTTTAACCTGAATTTCCTCTGATTACCTTCAATTCTACTATTTTAAACTTATAATTTTCAGGAAGTGTGAAGAAAACAAACGGTGATCAAGCTCAAAGTCAGCTTAAACAAAACAAATTGTGAGCAGAGCTAACACGGACCTCTAAAACAGAGGTTGGATCAGGTACCATGAAGGAGTAAGCATCCTGTCAACCAGTCACGCCTGCCGTGTGTCCCCTTGTCAAGATCGGGTAAACGGAAAAATCCGTAGACAATTCAGTGTGAAAATAATGGTTTAACACTTTGTATGAAAGAAGTCAACATGCGATCTGATGACATATTGTATTTGCAAGTAATGTCATTGTATCGACCATAGAATTTATGAAATGTTGATTTTGAACGAGAATGTTGATATCCTTGTATCATCAACATATTTGTAAATTTTTGTCACCTTATCCCATCTCTGGACTTTCCAGAGGTCTGTGTTTTATGTACTGTTTACAGATTTGTATTCAAGGTATTTTTTAGATCGATCATTGTTCGTTATCTGAACCTACTTTAATAGACTTATCTTGTGTATCGGATCAACTGTTACGTGTAGAGTAGAACCAAAAAAAGCCTAATTTTTTTTCATAACAATTTTAAAAACACTACTGTCTTGTGGA